ATAATCTAACGATAACAAAACCCTAACAACGAATATCAACAACAACAGTGATATTGCTAAAAAGTAGAGCGTAACTAATGATCAACATTTCAATGATAATGCTCACCTTCAAGGAGATTTCCTTCGTAAGTCGAAAGCATTTCTTAGGCCAATTGGTTTGAAACCACATAGTTTTTGAAGTATTTATTCAGAAAATTTTAGTTTTAGCGCAGGATTCAGGGAGAGTTTAGGCCTCGATGATGGCGTTAGGCATTGAAACGGTATGAGGTTGTGACGCTTCGAAATTAGGACATTTTAAACGTTGATCGTTTTAAAATATAACCTTAAAAATATATCCTTTCAAAATATCACACCCAGAAACAAATATTGCAATTGAGTTGATATCGGAAGTGAATTGCTTCGGTTGAAAGAGTGCTCTGGGATTTGAAGATTGGAATCTGCGCTCTTCAAAAGATCCACTAAGGAAGGGAACTCGCAAAAAAATGTGGCCGGTCAAGGCAAGAACATCGATTCGAATTAGCTGTTACGATTCATAGACGGTTATTCGGCTTCAGCTTAATGACGCCATAGCTGATGAATGAGGCCACTGTTCACGATGAGGTTCGAGCNTCGCTCGATATGCGCCATTCAGCAGCATTCACATTGTTAGCATTAATCACTTATCAATCACTCATTTCAATGTCATCAATGAGAATATTGGACACACTCATTCGATTGATACCGGCCGCATTGAGCCCGCTTTCCTGATCGACTGCATTTCCGCTTACTGTTTCACTTGTTCGGTGGTCGTCCATGGTCACACTTCCAACCCCAACACCATCGCCACTGCCCATGACACGTTCGAAAGCAGTCTGCCAAGAGTCCGTATTCGCGTATTGAATCATTATTTCGAACGCTTGATCCGATGTGAGACACTGAAAAAAATACATATGAAGATAACATGAACAAAGTAAGCAGATACAAACGAAATCAGTGCTGCTTGGCTTAGACTCGATGACTTGATCAATAATATTGGTATGAAATTCGGTTTCGCGCAAAAACCTCCCCCTTGAAAGTGAATATATTTATGAAAAAAAATGATGGTGAGCATTTGACATTAAATGATATCTGTGTGGTTTTTACGTT